AAAAAGAACTTGGTATGAGAACGAGCCGTGGATCGTGATCGACCACCGGAACAGACGGGGATCGGGCCGTGGAAGGTCGAACAGACGGACACCGTCCCCCCTGCGCAGAGATCACACAGCCTACGGCCCGTTTTCCAGGAGGGGCACACATGGAGGTGAGGGAGATTTTTTCCGCCCGCGGCAGCGCAAATGGAACGGAGAGCCACGGATCGTGGACCGCCACGTTGCCCACCAGGGAAATTGGCCCGAACGGGACCGGGAACCAACTCGGCATAAACGGCATGCCAACTCCTCCCGAACGGTCCGGACCAAACCTCCACTGAAGAAAATACAGTCGGATGATCCTGACTTCTCAGCAAAGGTTCGCATCATTTATAAACTCATTAAGACAGTGCACCATTTAAAGAATGTTTCGGGGGACATTCCTCCTCCCTCCCTGAACAGAATAACTAATAATTTAATGACTGTGATTAAGCCAGCTATCCCCAATAGGGAAGTGCACACTCTAATAGAGGATAATGCTAAGAACTGGGCTCATACCACCATCATAATCCTCCGTAACCATTATAATTTTTGCATGGAGGAGGCAGTTAAGACTCTTTTTGAGTTTCCTGTGCAGGACTGGACAGGCCCGTTTGAGATAGCGGCATCCTGGGCCAAAAGGAATCTGGGCCGCCGTCTGCAGCCTGAATCTTTGGAGCAAGCTGAGGCTCTCATTGTAGCCAGGCTGGCAGACGTGCAGGCAACTACTGTACCGACTGAACCACATCATGAGCTTCAAGTACATAGTGGGGAACCAGGACCCAATCCAGCGGCTCCGAGAGACCAGAGGGTGAGGAGAATCCCTGCAACACTTCCGGGGACTTCTTCTGAGGTGACGTCTTCTCCTGCCATTCAATCACAACAGAACATGGAGGCGATGGACCTCATGCAGGATAACTCCACCCCCAAGAAGACCAACACAGCTTCAGTTGGGCAACAGGTATGTACCCCGACAACACATCCAAGCTCAAAGAAAAAACTCAGAGAGTGGAGACTGCACACAAGAGAGGCATCTGTGATTATTGGAGACGCCAATGTGGGCTGGATTCCTCCTCATGTTGCGGAGGGAGTCCAAATTGACAGCTTTCCGGGAGCCAAATGGGCCCACGCAGAGATCCTTCTGGATAAAGCGGACATTGATACATCGGTGGAGAAGCTGATTCTATCCTTCGGCCTGAATAACAGGCGCCAGAGAGATAAAAATACACCAATAACGGAGCTGAGAAGGGCACTGAGGGCAGCACAAGCAAAATTTCCCCAAGCTGACATTTTTGTTCCTGTGATTAACTTTTCCTCTGCCCTTCCCACTACAGAACAAGACACATTATTGCACATAAACACTTTCATTATAAGTTTAAAGGGACACATCCCTGCTCTACCTGCTGATAAATTCAACACAGGACCAGATAATCTTCGCTGGACTGACAAGACTGCAGAGCACATGTTGAAGCACTGGAATTGCCATGTTAATGGAACATCTTTATGAAACCAATTTGAGTTTCTGATTTTGTGTTATTGATGTGTTTCTGTGCTGACAGTGTAACCTCAATACAACCCACTAGAGGGTGCTACAACTCTAATTAAGGGAAATTTTCCCCTTCCCTTCACCTCTGTGTTTTCTGCATTTTTCACCTGTATAGGCCTGTTTATGACCATCCTATTGTAAACTCCTGGCCCTGAAGCTTTCCCTAACCTTAACCTTTTTTAACCCCATGCAGGGATCTCATTTCGGCCCTAAAACCTAACCGCCTAGAGCCCTATTTGGACATTGGGCTCTAACTTCAACCCTCATTTTCTTCTAGCTCTGAACCTAACCTTTGGATTCTCTAGGCCCACTTTCAAACCCCTTTATTGGTGATGGGAGAGGACACCTTCCTCCTGGAGAGCAATCTGTGAGTGGTGTGGGGACCCGGGTGGGAACAAGATTGGCCTGTGCATGGAGTTTGGCCGCCTTCGGCGGCCATCCTCCCAACCTTTCTCCCCCTAACCCCTAACCCTAACCCCTAACCCTAACCCCATTTCCCCTTACCTAACCAGCCAGTGCCTGCCGTGTACCCGCTGGTTCACCAGATTGACCGAGGCCTACTGCCGAAGCCACTTACGGACCCTGCTTTGTTGCCCCCCACCCTCAATTATCTCTGACCCCAAATCTGGACCCAAAATTTTATCCCCTATGTCAATTCGGCCCCAATACCACTATCCCCACCCCAGGATCCTGATCCTAACCCCAACCAGCCACAATCCTGGCCCTAACCCTAGCCCCATCCATGGTGAAGCCCTAACCTTAACCTCAGTGCCAAGACACAAAGAATAAACAAAAATAATTAGGTAAGGAGGGTATGTAAGCCAAAGGAAAGGAAGCAGGAATTAGGAGCCAAAGGAAACAGAAGGCAAAGTAAGGGTAGGAAAGGAGAAAGGAAAGGGAAAGGATAGGGTTAAGCCAAAGAAAGTAGAGTAAGAGAATTAAAAAGAAAGCCAAAAAGGAAAAACACAAAGTACCGTAGGGAGGAGTCAAAAAAGCCTATAAAAGGAGGGGCAGAGAGAAGTCTCCTTTATTTGAATTTGGCCACCGATGCATGAGCACAGCCTGAAGAAGGCACAACACCGCCGAAAGCTAGCGCAAGCCATGCATCACTATTAAAAATGTTTTGTTTGTTGTTTTAGTTTGTTGTTTTAGTTTGTTGTTTTTGGGGGAGGTTTATTTAAATTTTATTCATTTTCATGTTTATTAAAGGCCTAAAAAACTAATTTAAAAACCTAAGATTGGGAATTCATAAAAACAACACGGAGACAAAAATAATTGGGAAAATAGAAAATTTATTACAAACACAGTAAAAACAATTGAAAACCTGAAAGAAAAATGAAAATTAGAACAATTTGGTTAAAAAACAATTAAAATGTGGTACTTACCTGGGAAGCCTAATTAAGGAAGGTACTTACCTGAATTTGGACCTGGAGAGTGACGGACACGGAAGACGGAGTGGTGTTGACGTAGTGGGTCTTGGGAAGGGTCACAGTATGGCCCGTGCACCGCTCCTGCCCTCCTCGTGCAGGGAGGAGCTTCATTTCCCCTTACCTAACCAGGGGGGGGTTAATTCAACTTAGAAAAAGAAAAAACCTTAAAAAAAGAGAAAAGAGCGAAAGAAAAAACCTAAATAAAAGGGAAAGAAATAAAAGGGAAAATACTTACCTGAAATAAAACCTAAATAAAAGGGAAAATACTTACCTGAAAGAAACCTAAATAAAGGAAGACCTCATACTTACCTGGGCTCGTCTGAAGAAGGCACATCTAAGCCGAAACGTCGCGACAGCCCACTAGCTCTTTAACCCAAGACATGGGTAATTTTTGGAACCTCCGGGCAGGGTCTCCACCTCCCGGCAAGAACCCTCGGCCCCCATTGATGGACAGTGCACGTCAGGCCCTTGGTGGCCTGTTTTCACCTAACTCCTAACCCCCTAACCCTAACCCCTAACCCGTCGCGACAAGGGCATACTCATTTAATTTTTTCACTTTTACGTTAGTTTGTTGTTTTAGTTTGTTATTTTGGGGGATTTTATTTCATGTTTTGATTCATGTTTTATTGATTTTCCTTAAAAACTCAAATCAGAGACATGTTAAAACTAAATTAAAAAACCACACAGAAAACAAATTGGGATTGAAAATTCTTTATTAAAAACAAGCCAAGTAACGGACACGGAGAATGAAAACCTGCAAAAAAGGAATACTTACCTTGAAAAACCTGTAAAAAAGAAATACTTACCTTTCAAATTAAAAAACAATTATGGAGGTAGAGGGATGTGAGGCTGCGGACCATCGGGGTTGATGGCCCGTGCACGCCCTGTTCCTCCTTCGGGAGGGACAGGTTCTTTTCTTCAACCCTAACCAGCCAGTGCCTCGCTCCGGTTGGTCTTTGGGTCTCACTCCTAGTTAAAGCTCAATTTAGCATTTATGCCCTACCCCAGTCATTTACCCTAACCCTAACCAATTTGTTTATCTCAAATTACCCACCCTAAAATTGGAATCTAGCCCTAT